GTGCGACCCCAGGGGCTGCTGCTCCACGTGTGTGCACTTCCCACTCGCTCCGTTCGTTCCATTCGGTCCTCCTCCTCCTCCTCCTCCTCCTCCTCCTCCTCCTCCTCCTCCTCCTCCTCCTCCGCCTCCTCCTGCTCCTCCTCCGCCTCCTCCTCATCATCCTCCTCCTCCTCCTCCTCCGCCTCCTCCTCTTCCTCCTCATGTTCTTCCTCATCATAGTCCGCTTCCTTCCCCTCCTCCTCCTCCTCCTCCTCCTCTCCTCCTCCTCCTCCTCCTCCTCCTCCTCCTCCTCCTCCTCCTCCTCCTCCTCCTCCTCCTCCTCCTCCTCCTCCTCCTCTCCTCCTCCTCCTATTCCTCCTCCTATTCCTCCTCCAACTCCTCCTCCTCCTCATCCTCCTCCTGCTCCCCCTCCTCCTTGTCATCCTCCTCATCCTTTTCCTCCTCCTGCTCCTCCTCCTGCTCCTCCGTTTCCTCCCCTCCCCTCCTCATCCTCCTCCTCCTCCGCCTCCTCTTCCTCCTCCTCTCTCCTCCTCCTCCTCCTCCTCCTCCTCCTCCTCCTCCTCCTCCTCTTCCTCCGCCTCTTCCTCCTCCTCCTGTTCCTCCTCCTCCTGTTTCTCCTTCTCCTCCTCTTCCTCCTCTTCCTCCACCTCTTTGTTTTGCGTTGGCCAGACATTCCGTGTGCACGTGTGGCGTTCTTGCAGCGAGGCTAAAAAAAAATGTAGCACGACTCGGGTCAAGGTGCACCCAGCGGGCGCCGCGGAAATTGAAAGACGTAGAGAAAAAGCCGAGAATAGCACACCGAGTAGGCGCCCACCAGGTCTTCGAGGTCGGCACTAAGCTCAGTGACCAAATACCCATTCTTTATATCGGTAGCGCTTCCCCGGTTGGCAAGTAGAGCCAGGAGAAAATGCATGAGCGACGCAGCGTTGGCGACCGTCTCGATAGCCGCGCCAAGCAAAGTGCTGTTGGTGGAGCATGCAGCATGCATCCCTAGGTACGATCCACCGCCCCACCCGTCCTCCGCTAAGTATAGTCGTGGGCGTGCTGCCGTAGGCATTGTTGCGGCTTGGACAATTAAACATAACACATTGACCCCCCTCTTGCCAGCAGTAGGCCCGCTCTCTAGCCAGCTGTAGGCCCGCCTTTCGGTTCCTAGGTGGAGGGGCTACCGCCACCGTTAGTGGATCTGGAATGGGGAAAAAGTGCAGGAGACGACAGACAGGGGCGTAGAAGAAAGAAAGACACTGCGCGGCCAGCAGTAGCAGCGTACGCCTGTACGCGAGCAGCTCTGAGTAGGCTGGCCTGTGGTCTAGGCTGGTCAAGTGAAGTCAGTCGAATTCGGCTGGCCTGTGTTAGTGAAGACCAGCCAGGAGGTAGGCCAGGTATGGAGCGCCAGAGATGTGGGAACACATGGTGAAACATGCGTGGCGCCGGGAGCATCGTGCTAGAAGCAGCTTGCATCTAGAAACGGCATGGACAAAACGAGGTAAATACGAGCTGCTTCTGTCGAGCGCAATCTGTACGACCAATCCGATCACGTGGGCGGGTTGCTCACGTAGACGTCTGGGACAGGAACAAAAAAACAGTCTGTGCTCGCTGAGTGGCCAGGGCATGGATATAAAAAAACAAGCGGTGGAAGGTCATGTTGGAAAAAAAAATGCGCCTGATGGTTGCCAACGGTATGCTTTAACACGGCTGCATGACCAGCAACAAATACGTAGGGATGCTGCCGTGTAGTGAGAAAAAATGCACGTCCCTGTTGGGGAACCAAGTGCCCACTGAGAACACGGCGATTGGAAGGTAGCCTGTACCAGGGTCCCTCGGAATGTCTCGCGTTAGCGGGCGTATGCTGCTAGACCCGCGCCGTGGGCGGCTGTAAACGGAGGGCGGCACCTTCGGCGCCCCTCAAAGTGTCAGCAATATAAGGCAGAATACGTCACACCAGCCCGCAGCACCCGCCCCCACCATTCCCGACCGATCGGATGATTGAAAGTATGAAACTGTGCATATAGGCTGGCCTGCACTAGGAAAAGGCTGGCCGTGTGGTCTGTCATAGATGGCTGGCCTGTAGTGATACGGGTTGGCCAGGAGCACAGGCCTGGGATGTACAAGAAGAATGGGGATGAGGTGGCATTAAATACCCCCGGCGCCTGGAAGATCTTGTAGAAACAATATGAAGCAAAATGAATCACCTGAGAGCCAGAGGTAAGTACAAGCTGCATTTGTCGAAATGCAGGATTTGTGCGACCAGGCCGTCGAAACAAGCGTTGGAAAAGGTCATGCTTGAGAGGTGGCGCCTGCTGACTGCCAAAGGTATGCGTCCACCGTCACGGCTGTATGACTAAATAGCAAACATGTAAGTTTGCAGCCGAGCTGTGAGGTAACAAGAGAAAAAGGGACACGTCTCTGTTGGGTACCCAGGTGCCCGTTGGGCGCACAGCGGGCGGAGGGTAGCCTGCAACATGGACCCTCAAGGTGTCTAGCGTCCACTGGAGTGTGC